CGGTGCTTTTTTAGGTCAGGTCAAAAGTCAGGTCAGCAGAGGCGATCAATGGTCAAATTTGGTCTATTTCAACAATTTTCGAATCACCCGACGCATAACTCGGGAACCAACCAATAAAGCTACAGCACCGTGGAAAATCGAATTCGATAGCTTTTTTAACCCGGCAGTTGCTGGGGTATTTCGCCACCCACCGTTTGCTGGGGGGGGGGGCGTTAAACGCCCCCAGCCGATAACTCAAGAACCAATAGGCGCAGCGAAACGCACGAGGCGGCAAACGAAAGAGCGCGACGAGACGCTTCAGATGAGTACTTTAAAGGTGAGTTTTGAGGTCACAGGTCGGGTCAAGGTCAGGTCAAACACCTGAAATCGGCCTTTCAGTAGCATGGACTTCAGGACTTCGCAATGGGCGCCTCTCGTCATAAACTCTGTCAAAATGGTGCACAATCCATCGTATAAGGCCTACAAGAGTGTCAGCTCCATGTAGGGGTCAGTCAAGCATAGGTCAGGGTCAAGGTCAGGTCAACCGGGTAGGCACATATCCCCGAAAATCAAAACTGATTTTCGCAGCCCGTGACACATGTTTTATGGGTAATTTGGGGCGTAGAACACGATGGTGACATTCATTTTATCATATGTGTACGTGTTTGGCTAAAAAAATTTAATTTAAGAAATGCATGTTTCATAGTCGTGAAGTAGTCACGAGAAATTGTCAAGATTCAGTTCAAGATTTTGGAAAATGCGGAACGATAATCAATAATCGAAGATAGCCATTTGATTGTTCATGGTATTGGCAGTCTAATGGCGTTTACGGCATGTCTGTATGTCTATTCTGTGATTTTATATGATTTTTTGAACATACGCCGTTTTTGGTCGAAAATTCAAAAATCATGACATCACTAAAACCTCGATATCTCAAAACTTTTTCGACCGATTTTTTTGAAACTTTGTCACAATAAACTTCAATCAATTCCCTACAGGTACCTAAAATTTGGCGCGCCTGCGGCGCGCCGTTTTTATGCTATGGCCCGGCGAAAAAAGTGGGGGCGTTTAACGCCCCCCCAGTAACTCGCGGGTTATAGTTATTTTTTAGTATTATTCACAGATTTGACCCGAGGTCAATGTTTTAGCCTTCAGAGGGCAAAAACTTTAAAATTAGCCGCTTTTTACGAAAAGAAATGTTTTTTTTCGGCCATAACTTTTGATTCAAGAGGGCCACGGCATTACCCTCTCCCGTATTGGTGTTCTTCCAGCCGCGAACATAAGGGGGGAGGGGTCGCATCAACCCCCTCCCCTCCCTGCCACGCCGTGTTATGAAAAATGCCCTGCCAGAGCGAGGGTTAACCCCCGCCGGCATGGGGGGGGTGATGCAATCCCCCTAAGGTTTTTCGCAAATAACTCGCGTAAAAGCGGCGATCGCGACGAAACTTAAACCGCGCCCCGCTGGGGAGGACAGAATCTGCCCCCTCCCGTTTTTCGCCAATAGCTTCTAAACGCGTTACGCCAGCAACGCCAAACTTTCAGTACCTTATAATACATCAATTTGACACGTTCCCTGAAAATTTGAGCGAAATCCGTCGGAAATTTTTGAGAAAATGACGTTTTAGTGACGTCATGTTCGCCATTTTCGCCTAAAAAAAAAACACACAGAAAACACCAAAAAACAGAGAAACTTGAAATTTTCAGTGGACATCAAGAAAGGATAGAGGAGCAGTTATACGAAAAAATCAGCCTTCTAGCTCTAAAAATGTTGAGTGCAGGGCAGAAAGACTACCTGGGGATGGCAACCACCCCCTCCCCTCATGTGCGGGCGAGGGTTAAGGTATCATTTCCAGCTCGCCAGTTTTAAAGGTATGGAGGTTTCCCTTTCATAAGAGCGCCTTTTAAACGATTAGACAGGCTTCAAAAATTGGACAATACCAACCTATCTAAAACTGTGAATATGCCTACACCGCCTACACTTACTGTTATTCTGAATTTTGATACGTTAGAAGCAATCCGTAGCTAACTATCTATCTGTCATATATCAGACTTAACCCGCGCGGGGCTGGGGGGGGGGGTAAATTTTACCCACCCTCGCGAATTTTTGCAATAACTCAAAAACGGCGGCGCGCAGCGCCGCCAAACTTTCAGTACCTTTTTGTACATCAATTTTACACATTCCCTGAAAATTTGAGCGAAACCCGTCGGAAATTTTTTGAGAAATTGACGTTTTAGTGACGTCATGTTCGCCATTTTCGCCTCAAAAACGGCAAAATTTCAAACGCCGCTAACATCTTCATTTTTAAAGGAATCAAGACGTAACAAAAAAGGTTATACGTAATTCTACTTTGTCTATCAAATGGCTATCTCGGTGTTTTGAAAATTTTGGAATTTGGCCAAAAGTTTTTTCAAAAAACTGACTTTTTTGGGAAAATAATTATAAAATCCAAAATTTTGAGTGTATCGAAAAAAAACCGGAATATATGTCAGAGATGTGGTCTATGTGCACCTACATACCAATTTTTAGAAGAATCGGTTCAAAAATGTGGGAGTTATTAAAAATTTCATGACGTCATGACAAATTTCGAAAAAAGTCATGACAAATTCATGACAAAATTTTTGAAAAAAATGATTTTTTTTTGGAAGTTCTAGACCTCGTACGGAAACAAAAATAGCACCATTCGATTCGCCGTGAAAAACTGCATCAGATAGACACCTTTTAGGCCTTAACCCGCGCACCGACGGGGGTCTGCGCCAACTTCGCACCGACGGGGGGGGGGGCGGATGACCGCCCCCCTGAGATCTCGAGAACGAAGCAAGATAGCGACAAGCGGTAAACGGCATCGGATACGCACGGCCAAGATCTACAATTTTTACTAAGGTAATTTTCAGGTCAGGTCAAAGATGACGTCACAGGGGTCGAAAAAGTCAAAATGGCGGCGCTAGATATGGAGAGAGTTTTTCTCGAATAACTTTCGAATTAGTCAAGATAGGAACAAACTAAGGGCATCATCGTGATCCTCTCGTCAATCCGCATCGAATGACATATATGTTGACCTCGAAAGGTCAAGGTCAAAGGCTGACCTCAGGTCACGTGACCTCGAGGTCATCATGTATATCATTCGATGCGTCTTGACGAGCTGAACACAATGAGACCATCCACGCGTCTGTATCTTGTTCCTGTACGGAGTTATTGGCCAAAAACCTTTGGTGACCTTTGATGACGTCACATGACCTCACAGCTTCCCAACAGCAAAACAGACCTCAAGGTAGTGAAGGTTGGTCGTATATGAAGTCATGTATGGTATATGGGGCCATTCCGACCCGTTTTAGTGGTAAAAACAGGGAGTTGATTTTTCCCCCATTGACTTATAATGGGGAGGTCGCGAAATTGACCTGACCTTAGGTCACCGATATCAAAATTCCGAGATATACAAATTGTAGCTACTAATGACCTAATAATATCCTGCGACTTTCAAAGGCCTCCGACATCTACTGTAGCTCTGGCACGGTGACAAAGTTGCAAAAAAGTGACTTGAGGTTGGGTCATTCAAAGTGACCTGGTGACCTGACCTTAAAAGGTAGGAGGTTCAAACTTGCACACCATGTGTACCATGTGTTCAAACTTGCACACCAGGGTCCATTCGCGAGCGGAGCCTTCAAAACATACACATGAAAATAACAGGGTCTGAATCTTCCAGGAGAAAAACATACATCGATTTTAATACTGATTTTACGGTTCACCCGATATATACTAACAATGTTTCAGAACGGGCTCGTACAGCATTTACACGACTAAGGCTATGCTCACACCGCCTTAGGATAGAAACAGGGAGGTGGGCTAGAATCCCAACAGAAGAGAGGCTATGCTCCTGTCGGCTCGGTGTGCAAACAGAGGCGCATGTGCTTTTAGACTGCCCAATCACTGAGCCACTTAGGAGAAATTTTACAATGCTGAGCTTTGATAGTTTGGCAAGCTTAATGAAAAGTAGTCCAAATGATCTGGCCATATACTCTCAGAGAGTTTTGCTGGCATGTGAGAACGTATGACGCGACGGATTTTAACGTGATGTTTAGGTATATTTTTAATTGACGCTGGTTCTCTGTATGAAATGTTTGACGGTTTTAATATGTTTTGTATATGATCTGTTTTAATGGACACTTGTCTTCTGGGTTTTATCCATCTAGTACCTAAGACTGTGTCAATAAACTACTACTACTACTACTGTAAAATTGATGAGGTTATAGTCATACCAAATTGCGCGGCGCTACGCGCCGCGGTTTTCCCGCTATTCGCGAAAAACCTCAGGGGGGGGGCGGATATCCGCCCCCCGTCGGTGCGCGGGTTAACAACCAACTTCAAAATTTGACCTCACTTGACCTGACCTTGACCTGACCTCGACCTGAAATTCATCCAGATGTGGTCCATATCACCTATTGAGTGTGCCTATTGAATTCTATGAATAAAATGACCCATAAAACATGTGTCGCACATGACCTTTTCTATATTTTGTTTTTCGTGACCTGACCTGACCTGACCTGACCTTGACCTTGACCTCTGAATGATATTGTATGCAGCGAATATTGTCTTGGTAGCCTAAGAACACGTTTTGGGCAATCAGTCTCAGTCCATTCTTCGGCAACTACGGTGCAAGGCCGATACTGTAGAAACTTGCAATTTGTACCCTTGACCTGACCTTGACCTTGACCTCAAGGCTCAAAATTTAAATTAAGTACATGTTTTTAGTTGTTCGTGATGAGATCTTTCGATTGGCGTTTGAATTTTCCAAATCGGACCATTAGTTCGGGAGATAACAGGGGGGGGGGGGTAAAATTTACCCACCCCCAGCCCCGCGCGTTCGGCTGGAGACCCCAGCCCCGCGCGGGTTAACAATAATTTTTGTCTCTTTTTGTTTTCTGTCACAATTGCGCTTCAAGGTGACATTTTATTTTCTCCTGTTACTTATGTCATGGCAACCACCTGTCTGACACAATACATGCCTTCTCTCCCATTCAGATGGCCAACGGTGATCTTTTCTGCAAGTGCTCACCCTGTCAGGCATATGACTGCTTGGCACTTGCTACTGGTGGCAGTTCTGGCTGGCACAACTTTTTTGGCAATGGATTCTGTGCTGCCCAGATACGTTTTTCAACCTGTGATGGAACGGGAACTGGGCACACACCTTTGGTCACTCCGCAATCAGCTAGGTAAGTAGGGAAGCCAAAATCGAAACAGATACACTATACATACAGCATGTACATTCACCTTTTTTGGATCCGAATCGGCATCTGGTCAGTTAGTTTCGGCAGATCTGCATTAGGAACGTCAGCTGGAGTGCGTTTTTGACAACCCACGCCTCAAACTCGGCATAGTGCAGCAGCGTGACATGGGGCATTTAAAGGCAGTGTGCCAGCTTTCCTGGACCGTATGGAGTTAATGGCCCAGATAAGGAGAACCGGATTTTTAGAACTTATCCATACCTTCAAAATTCATGGAAACGTCTTAAAGTCTTCAAATTTTGAGTACCCCAGTGCGAAATTCGCTCCGACGGGTTGTCGGTCGTACCCCAACCACATTTCACACCACTATGAACAATAAACGCACACACTGAAATCGCTATTACCGATATGCTCATCCAATCAAGTTTCGATAAACCCGTTCATCATCATCTCCTGTGGTTTCGAACACGCCTGTTAGATGGTGCGGTAGACCGCGCCCAAAGCCAGGGCCCCGGTAACGTGAGGTAGCCGAGTCGGGGCAGCGTGCGCTGACCCAAGCCGGGGCCGCGCGTCCTCCCGGTGTCATGTGATAGCCCGGGGCTGCCCGCGGGGATACGGTAGACCGCGCCCAAAGCTGCGGCCCCGGCTTGGGTCAGCGCACGCTGCCCCGACTCGGCTACCTCACGTTACCGGGGCCCTGGCTTTGGGCGCGGCTTCTGCTCATACTTAATGGTGCGGTGGTGGTGCGTCGGGCCGCGCGCTCTGACTTCGGCCAAGAAAAATGCGTCAGCTGATCATTGTCATTTCTGCCACTTGCGTATGGTGAAATGGGGTCATAACTTAAGAGACGGCTTTTTCATATCAATTATTTTACATAAAATGATATTTCAAACCATAAATAATGTTCGACAGCCAAATAAAAGAAACAATACCAATACAGGCTTACAGTTTAACCCGCGCCCCGCTGGGGGTCCTGGATTTCCACGCCCTGCTGGGGGGGGGGTGTTTGAACACCCCCCCTTGTAACTCGGCTCCTGGGCCACGTAGCGATACGCGGAAGGCGGCGTTCGAAAGAGCGTAAAAAATAATGACGAAATCACTTCGGTCAATTTTTTGGTCAGGTCAAAGGTCAGGTCACCAGAGGTCATTGAAGGCAAAATTTCGCCGATTTCCAGGTCGAATGTCGAAAATTTCCAAGAAGCTAACGCATAACTCGGGAACCAATAGAGCTACAGCGCCGCGGAAAAGTGCATTCGATAGCCCTATTAACGCCCTTTCTGAGTAATTCTCTCAGATTTGACCTAGCGTCAACGGTTTTGCCTGCAGGGGGCAAAAACTGCAAAAATAGCCGATTTTTTCGGAAACAGTTTTTCTGCAATAACTTTTGACCCAAGCCTTGTACGAGCTTACTTTTACCGGTATCGTGTTCCTCTCGTCAAGACGCATCGAATGAACTATAATTTGACCTTGAAAGGTCAACTTGAAAATTTGACCTCAGGTCAAGGTCATGACCTGACCGGAGAGGGTCATGTTGCATATCAGTCGATCCGTATCGTCGAGCTGAACACATATAAGGCGTTTTCATCGCTCTAGCATGTCTCTATCAAAAGTTATTTGCGAAAAACTGTTAGATACCATTCGTGACCTAAGATGACCTCAGGGCACAAACAAGGGTCACGGACACCATTTTCATGTTCAGTGTGTCTAAACCACTTGTAATTCGGTGTTTGGGAGTGTTTATAATGTCCTTCGTCCAAAAGAGGCGCATTTCAATTTTCTCCCATTGACTTATAATGGGGAGGTCGCAAAATTGACCTGACCTTAGGTCATCGATATCAAAATTCTGAGATAAACATTTTGTACATGCTATTGCTCTTAGCAATCGCTGAAAGTTTCAAAGCGATCGGTCACTCGGTGTAGCTATGACAGACATTGAAACTTTTTATGAGGTGAGGTCACTTCAAGTGACCTGGTGACCTGACCTTGAATGACCTTGGTCTGAAATTTTCACAACATGTGTAGAATTGATGTATGATAAGGTGTACCAAAAACGGCGGCGCTCCGCGCCGCCGTTTTTGAGATATTCGCGAAAAACCACAAGGGGGGGTGTTCAAACACCCCCCCCCCAGCAGGGCGCGGGTTAAGGCTCGACATTGTGTTGTCTACGATTAGACAGCTGATAACTCATTCCCGTACTTACGTCGTAACTCTATAATGACCTTTGCTTATTGTCACATGTGCGCCGCATTCGCGATTGTTGCCGACGCCTGTTTGCAGGTCAACCCACTACAGTTGTTATACATATCGAAAAACCGATAAACTTTTAGGCGAAAAAGGCACTATTCCAGGCCCATTTTTGATTTTTTTGCGATATTAAGTAAAAAAAGAAGCTTCTTATCCTAGGAAAAATAAAATGGGAAATCTTTAAAAGGTGGCACACTACCTTTAATATCGACATTGAGCGAGGTTTCGACACTGGCCAATGAATTTCGCCACCGCGGCATACGACTGCATGACATCGGGCATTGGAAAAAGGCGAATTTCATTTTACAATGGCAATGGTGATGCAGTTTCGTTGGCGGTATACACCTTTTTGCATCTCAATTAGGCATCTTTTCATTCCATTTCGGCGAACTGTATTCAATATTAGCGATCTCTCATTTGCTTCGAATAGGGGCATTTTGTTTCGTCATTTGGGCTCTACTTTGACATCGGGCACACCACATCGATATCAGGCATCATTTCGGCAAGGGGCATTCAATTTCGACAAGGCCTTACGTATTTAGACGTTAGACATGGACTTAGACACGAGACATTTAACCCGCGCCCAGCTGGGGGTCCTGGATTTCCACGCCCTGCTGGGGGGGTGCTTGAACACCCCCCTTCTAACTCGGCTCCTGGGCCACGTAGCGATACGCGGAAAGCGGCGTTCGAAAGAGCGTCAAAAATAATGACGAAATCACTTCGGTGAATTTTTTGGTCAGGTCAAAGGTCAGGTCACCAGAGGTCATTGAAGGCAAAATTTCGCCGATTTTCAGGTCGAATGGCGACAATTTCCAAGAAGCCAACGCATAACTCGGGAACCAATAGAGCTACAGCGCCGCGGAAAAGCGCATTCGATAGCCCTATTAACGCCCTTTCTGAGAAGTTCTCTCAGAGTTGACCTAACGTCAACGTTTTGCCTGCAGGGGGCAAAAACTGCAAAAATAGCCGATTTTTTCGGAAACAGTTTTTCTGCAATACCTTTTGACCCAAGCCTTGTACGAGCTTACTTTTACCATCATCGTGTTCCTCTCGTCAAGACGCATCGAATGAACTATAATTTGACCTTGAAAGGTCAACTTGAAAATTTGACCTCAGGTCAAGGTCATGACCTGACCGGAAAGGGTCATGTTGCATATCAGTCGATCCGTATCGTCGAGCTGAACACATCTATGGCGTTTTCATCGCTCTAGCATGCCTCTATCAAAAGCTATTTGCGAAACACTGTTAGATACCATTCGTGACCCAAGATGACCTCAGGGCATAAACAGGGGTCACGGACACCATTTTCATGTTCAGTGTGTCTAAACCACTTATAATGCAGTGTTTGGAAGTGTTTATAATGTCTTTCGTCCAAAAGAGGCGCATTTCAATTTTCTCCCATTGTTTTATAATGGGGAGGTCGCAAAATTAACCTGACCTTAGGTCATCGATATCAAAATTCTGAGATAAACATTTTGTACATGCTATTGCTCTTAGCAATCGCTGAAAGTTTCAAAGCGATCGGTCACTCGGTGTAGCTATGACAGACATTGAAACTTTTTATGAGGTGAGGTCACTTCAAGTGACCTGGTGACCTGACCTTGAACGACCTTGGTCTGAAATTTTGACAACATGTGTAGAATTGATGTATGATAAGGTGTACCAAAAACGGCGGCGCTCCGCGCCGCCGTTTTTGAAATATTCGCGAAAAACCACAAGGGGGGTGTTCAAACACCCCCCCCCAGCAGGGCGCGGGTTAATCTCGTCATTTTACAATCAAAATTGTAATTACCTACTTTTTCAGTCATTCAAATGGAATGAAAACTGCCAGTCATCTCTGGCAGTTTTAGAGATATTTTGTTAATTTTTGGCATGTGTGGGGCCCGTAAGGGGTTCTCTGACATATGTTCCGTTTAAAGATCCCTAAATTTGAAAAATAACTCAATAAATCTAATTATAAGTTAGAAAACCCATAAAGCTATGGATTTTTATATTTTGGAAATTTCGAGATAACCATTTTATTTTCCATGCTTTTTAATACCTACAGTTCGATTGTTGAGTCGTTAAAGGTAGTGTGCCACCTTCCAATGATTTTCCATTTTATTTTTCCTAGGATAAGAAGCTTCTGTTTTTACCTAATATCGCAAAAAAATCAAAAATGGGCCTAAAATAGTGCTTTTTTCGCATCAAAGTTTATCGGTTTTTCGATATGTGTAACAACTGTAGTGGGCTGAACTGCAAACAGGCGTCGGCAACAATCGCGAATGCGGCGCACATGTGACAATAAGCAAAGGTCATTATAGAGTTACGAAGTACGGGAATGGGTTATCAGCTGTCTAATCGTAGACAACACAATGTCGAATTTAAACTGTAAGCCTGTATTGGTATTGTTTCTTTAATTTGGCTGTCGAACATTAATTTATGGTTTGAAATATTACTTTATGTAAAATAATTGATATGAAACAGCCTTCTCTAAAGTTATGACCCCATCTCACCACATGAAAGTGGCAGAAATGACAATGATCAGCTGACGCATTTTTCTTGGCCGAAGTCAGAGCGCGCGGCCCGACGCACCACCACCGCACCAAGTGAGCAGAAGCCACCTGCGGTAGACCGCGCCCAAAGCCAGGGCCAAGGTAACGTGAGGTAGCCGAGTCGGGGCAGCGTGCACTGACCCAAGCCGGGGCCGCGGCTTTGGGCGCGGTCTACCGCATCCCCGGGCAGCCCCGGGCTATCACATGACACCGGGAGGACGCGCGGCCCCGGCTTGGGTCAGCGCACGCTGCCCCGACTCGGCTACCTCACGTCACCGGGGCCCTGGCTTTGGGCGCGGTCTACCGCACCACCTAACAGGCGTGTTCGAAACCGCAGGAGATGATGATGAACGGGTTTATCGAAACTTGATTGGATGAGCCTATCGGTAATAGCGATTTCAGTGTGTGCATTTATTTTTTTTAATTTATTTCATAGTGGTGTGAAATGTGGTTGGGGTACGACCGACAACCCGTCGGGGCGAATTTTGCACTGGGGTACTCAAAATTTGAAGAATTTAAGACGTTTCCATGAGTTTTGAATGCATGGATAAGTTCTAAAAATCCGGTTCTCCTTATCTGGACCATTAACTCCATACGGTCCAGGAAAGCTGGCACACTACCTTTAAGTTGAAACTCTGATTTTCTGCGATTTTTCTCCGTGAACAACTTTTTCGACGAAAAATCGCCGAACATGACCTCAGTTTGACCTCTATAGCTCGTGACCTGAGATGACCTGGGACCTATTTTTTTCAGGAGTTGTTACGGAGTGAGCGAAGCGAGCGGAGTCTTTCCTTAGATTAACGGACCGTGCCGCAGAGCTGTACAATGCTCTCCCCGCCGCCTTTACTGATCTGACCGTCACCGAGTTTAGAAACCAGCTGAAACGTCGACTGACGTCTGGTGCGGACGAAGTGTGATATGTATGTATATGTATGTGCATTGTGTTGTGCGCTTTTATCGTGATTTTTAAGCATTTTTTATGTCATAGCATGATGTTCTTTTACCCACTTCATCACCATCTTTTATTGACTCAGTGCCAAGAATAGCCTCTTTGACTTCGGTCATAGATAGGGGACGGCCACTACGAAGTAAATAAATAAATAAATAAATAAAACGGAAATTTCTGAGCATGAGCGGCCGGCCGGCCGTGCGGACGCTTTTGCGAGGCTTATATCTCAGCAACCACTTGACCGATTTACACGCGGTATTTTTTGTAGGGTAGCTTCATTCCTTCTACCAAGTATTGGACTAGTCCCGATGCATGTGGGTGACCCCTTATGCACGTGCCACGTGCAAAACGAAGAGGTGTCAGTTTTGTAATTGTTGTAATATCTCGGTAACTACTGGGCCGATTGCGCTGAAAGTTGGTATGTAGGTAGGCACTCACTAGGCACTGCATATCCATGTGCCAGAGTTGGGGTGCTGCTGCACGTGCGCACGTGCAGGGGTCGTTTCCGGATCTCGAGAACGGCTGGACCGATGGCGCTCAAATTTGGTACACGGTTAGGGACCAGTTAGTAGGGTGCCGTGCACAAGTCAGTTGGAACCCATTTTGCACGTGCGCACGTGCAGGGTGCCGCTTCCAGATCTCGAGAACGGCTGGGCCGATTTTGCTCAAATTTGGCACATCGCTAGAGACCCGTTAGTAAGGTGCCGTGCACAAGTCAGTTGGAGGTACCCCCTCGCATTTTCGCACGTGCAAAGCCCACCCTCTCGCTCGCTCCGTGTCGCCCCAAAAGGCGTTATACTGGTGTAAAATTGATGTGCAGAGAGGTACTGAAAGTTTCAAGTCGAAATTCGCTGCCATTTTTAGTTATCTGCGAAATACCACAGAGGGAGGGGGCCGAGGCCCTTTGGGCCTCCCCCCAACGGGTCGCGGGCTAGCTTGGCTGCAAGCTGCCGACGTAAAATGCAATATGACAAAACGGAATGCACTTTGTCGATATTAAATGTCCCTGCCGTTGTTCAATGACCCTGGTCAAATATAAACACTGCACATAATATCGGTTAGGTATCGGTATACCAAAAATTCGGTATCCGATCGACACCTCTAGTCTGTAGCAAGGGCGGGAGGGGGTAATTTACAACAAAGTGCTGATTGGTATCAGAAGTGGAAAGTTGGTTGCCCCCCCTTGTCTCAAATTGTTCCGCCGCCTATGGCACGTGAGCTGTAGCCTCGGGTGCTCGCAGCGGCAGAGTCCCGACACAGTCTTTCTCGGAGAGGCAGTCCATTCATAATCAACATATAGTCGCCCGAGTTATGGGCGACGGCGCATTAGGAGCCCTCTATAGTTAGCATTGTTTTATCTCAACCTTCGCCCCAATGGGGGGGCATATGTTACCACCCTGTCGCTTTTTTTGCGTGTGGATAAAAAACCGCGGCGCGTAGCGCCACGCCGCTTGGGGTAGCTTTTTGTACATCAATTTTGGACATTGTGTGAAATTTTTGACCCCAGGTCATGTCAGGTCAGGTCAACAGGTCAAGTTAACTGTTAACTGTTAACAAGTTAACTGTCAGAAAGATTTTAAACTTGGTGGATTACATGATGTTATGGGTGCCTATAATTTGTATATCTCGGACTTTTTATATCCGTGACCTAAGGTCAGGTCAGCGGCGTGACCTTACCATTATAAGTCAATGGAGAAAATGAAAATGCCTCTAGATCCATGTGTACGCATAGGACCCGTCCAAATATTTCAGAATCACAATGATTTGGACCACCCGTGACGACCAAAGTGTCTTTTTTTTTTGCTGATAGCATCTACACCTTTTTAGGAGCAATTTCGAAAAGTTAAAGACCAAAATCAAAACGTTCACGTGCATTTCGGACGCAAGCTTTTTGAATTTGGTCTTTAACTTTTTGAAATTGCGCCTAAAAAGGTGTAGAAAGCAGGGTTGTGCTTGACTCATGAGTCGAGTCAGAAATTTGACTCAACTCTGACTCAAATGAGTCAGATTTGAGTCGAGTCGGATACAATGTTGAGCTGTTGAGTTGAGTCAGAGTTGAGTCGGACAAAAATATTAAGGTGTTGAGTTGAGTCAGAGTTGAGTCAGTAATAACTTTTGACATTAATTTGAGGAGTCAACTCACTTGGCTCAACAAAAACATTGAGTCAAATTTGAGTCGACTCATATTTTCATTGAGCCGCTTGAGTCATGAGTCGAGTCAAGGGAAAAAAGCAACTCCTTGTATGAGTCAGAGTTGAGTCGGGGCTTTATGAAGTTGAATGATGAGTCGAGTCGGCAAATTTTTTTGAGTCGAGCACAACCCTGGTAGAAAGGTCATCCGAGGTCATTTGAGGCTACAAACAGATTTTTGCCAATAACTCTCGATTGGAAAGAGATAGGACGCTGGGGATGGTCTCATTGTGTTTGTCTTGTTGAGACGCATCGAATGATATGCAACATGACCTTTTCCGGTCAGGTCATGACCTTGACCTGAGGTCAAATTTTTTAGTTGACCTTTCAAGGTCAAACTATAGTTCATTCGACGCGTCTCAGCGAGAGGAACACGATTCTGGCAATAGAAATGTTGTGGCTTTTTTTAGTCAAAAGTTATTGTCAAAAAACATATTTCGTAAAAACAACTATTTTTTTAGTGTTCGCCCTCTGAAGGCTAAACCGTTGACCTAAGGTCAATTTTGATAATGACCTTATCAAAAGAAGAGTTCAAAAGCTATCGATTGTTTTTCCGTGCGTTTTTCTAGCTATCATAGTTCCTGAGATAAGTGCATGTTTTTCAGAAATATAATGACATTTGGCAAATTTTGACCTTTGATGACCTCCAGTGACCCCAATATTGCTCTAAGATGAAAAATGACCGAATATTTTCAAACGTACGCATTGAGAGCTATCGACTGCTTTTTACCGCGTCTTTCTAGCCCTCTTAGTTTTTGAGTTAGAGGTGGGTGGTAACATATGCCCCCCCCCCCCCACACTTGGGCGAAGTTGGCTGAGACCGCCACTGGGGCGCGGGTTAAGGACATGATCACTACGTTTCCATGACACGTCTAAAACGAGTTAGCGAAATTTCACGCGCGTTTTTCTCGGAAACTATTTACCTTATGCAAAAAATGAGCATATATATGAGTTTAGCTTGCACCTAATCCTATATTTACATTGTTAAATTATGCCTAAATGCTATGATGGAGGAAATCCAATTTTCAAAATCGGCTTAGCTTGTGCCATGGAAACGTAGCCGATGTGGAGTTTGTTAATGTAATAAGTGAATGAGGACTTTACGGGTCGGCCAGCTTTAGAATTGTATTTACAAAGCTTCGTCAGCGAGTCGTAATCGGGTTCGGGCTTTGTTTTGTAATTACAATTCGAAAGCTCCGACCCGAACGATTGCTTGTGGAGTAAAATCCTCATTCACTTATAAGCTTTGTTTTAGTGTTCCCAAGCATAGCATAGCACAAGCCTCTGATGTTCCAGCCAGCACTAGTGGGGGTGTCCTGACATGCCACGTGGTTTTCCAGCTGCGGTGCAGACCACTGTGACATGCCCTCTCAACGGTCGGCGCTTGCTGCTCGGAGACGCCACGGCATGGGCGTCGGATCGGTCGGCTGGCGGGGCGCCTCGCCTGTGCGCTGTTTGCGAGTGTGCCTTGGACAACGTGAGTATGCACTGTTTTCTTGAGTTTGATGCCTCTCATTGCCTCACCTCTCCCATGACGCGTGACTCTTGATCATCATTTTGATTGTGTGATTTCCTACTTAGAGATGTGTTTCCTATTGGCAGGCATTTATATTGTGTGCATTATTCAAGAAACATTGCGTGAGTAGATACCGATACTTAAAGCCACCAATGTGTCACCAACCGCAGGCATCGGTAGAGCCGGAGGCGTCGCTGTCGTGCACGATCCATGACTGCCCGATGTACGGGTGTGGCCCGGCTGGCAGTCACCGTGCTGAGGCCGCTGGAGGGAGCGGGGCGGAGGGAAGCGACGGCCGCTGGTCGGAAGCCGACCCCGAGCACCGGTGCTGCCGCGTCTGCGCCGCCGCCCCGGATGTCAGCTCCGGTAAGTGCCGGTCGTTGAACACCGCGGACAAGTAGGTGCAGTGGCCAGTGGGCATATGTAACTACTTAGACTCAACTGATACTCTCTTGTTGGGACCCTGTAGTGCGACGTCTGGCGCAGAGAAATACGTTCTATATGCTCAGTTGGTTTATTTGCACAATTTATGCAGGTGCCTGGCATGGGCGTAACCACCGCGCTGGAACGCTGGAAATTCCAGCCCATTTTTGGGATGCTGAAATGCCGCCCCCCGTAGAGGAAAACTGCAATTGCGGGACTCGCGGACTTCAAAACCAAGAAAAAAGAAACGGCACTGCTCGGTCCACTATACGCCTGACCTCAACGTGCCGCTCCTCACTAAAATAACTAGGTGCCCTCTACATGCCGCCCCTCCCAGATGTCCTTCCGCCCCTCCGCACCGACTTCCCCTCAAGTTCCTCGGAGCTCTCATGTGCCGCCCCTCACAGAACCCCGCCGCACTCAATGTGCCGCCCCTCCGCATATAGCTCTATCGCCGTCTGTGCCGCCCTCCCCAGAGTACCTCGGCGCTCTCTATGTGCTGCCCTCGCCACAACTTCCCGCCGCCCTCAATAAGCCGCCCTATGCTCAATCGCCATATGTGCGCCCCCCCCCCGAAGTGCCTTGGCGCCCTCTATGTGGCGCCCCTCACCACAAACCCCGCCGCCCCCAATGTGCCGCCCCTCCCCACAACGCTTTACCACCGTCTGTGCCGCCCTCCATAAACGCCTTGCCGCCCTCTCCAGAGTATCTTGGCGCCCACTATGTGCCGCCCCTCGCCACAACACCCCGCCGCCCTCAACAAGCCGCCACTCCCCACAATGCTCTATCGCAGTCGGCGCCACCCTCCCAAGGCACCTTGCCGCCGATACGTGCCGCCCCTCCCCAGATGCCTTTCTGCCCTTACGCGCCTCCCCTTCCCAGAATGCGTCAAAAGGTTTAATGATTCGCCCCTCCCTATAACGCTCCATCGACGTCTGTGCTGCTCTCGTCAGGCGCTGTGCCACCTCTCCCCGGAATGCTAGCCCTCGCTGGCCCGGGGGGGGGGGCGTTTTTCGCCCCTAACCCTGGCGAATATTTGCGATAGCTCAGTCAGGGGTGCTTAAATTGCTGCTGTTTACATATAATAACTACGCATTGACTTGGCGAATTGTGCTGAAACGTCTCCGATAGGTGAACATCGTGCGGACCGGGGGATTCATAATTCCATGCCTAGGTATCACAGTTTGGTTGCACTTGCTACTCTTAACGTGCGCAAATGAGGGACGTGCGCACAGCGCACGTTTTGCCGGGCTCTGTATGCTGCCCAACACAAAGTGTTACATTTTGGGCTCGATAAGTCTAAGGGATTCGCCTATGCGAATTCAGCCCATGAGAGCGTCAGGTGAGACGCTCTGATCGCAAACAACCATCGAAGTCGCGAAAAGGCCCTGTGTGATTGCTTGATGTAAACATTCCGAGCCAACGAGTAGTGCCCTGAGCGCGCAGCAAGACTCAAGAGTAAAGCTGAGCACTTGAAAGAGTCCTCGGTCTACTGTGGGGCCCTTGAGTGGGTGAGGTCTTTGGCTGGATCCCGTCCTGCAGGCTCACGCCTGGAATGGGTCCTCTTTAGGCAGGCTCGAAAGCTTAGGGGCCATCAGAGGCCGGTGTGGGGCTCTGAGAGTTAAGCGTGGCTGCTTAAAAGTTGCGTACTGCTTTCAGAAGGCCTGTGCGTTGGGCACCCAAAGACCAGCGTGGTGCCTTAATGCCAGTGTTACGCCCTCAGAGATGCACTGGTCAAGCCCTTTGAGGTTCTCAGAGGCGTCGGCGTGGTGCTCTCACAGGCGGGTGTGTGATCCGTTGAGGTTTTGGCGTGATACGCTCAGAGGCCGGCGTCGCGTGGTGCTCTTAGAAGCTGGTGGGGGCTTCCAGAGTCTTCAGTGTAGGACCCTCAGAGTCACCGGTGAGGACTCTCAGCATCACCGGTGAGTGGCCGGGCCGTGGGCAATGAGCCGGTATGGGACCCTCAGAGGAAGGCACCGGTGTGAAACTCAAGAGAGGTCAGTGTGAAGCCTTTACAGTTGCCCGTGTGGGGCAGTGAGTGTACTGGCGTGGTGCCTTCCGAAGGCCGGTATGGGATTGAAGCTTAGCGAGGTGATAAAGGACTTAACCCTCGCCCGTATTGGTGTTTTTCCAGCCACGAACGTATAGGGGGGGGGGGGGGGCCTTGCCGTTTCGCCCCTGATCGACCTAGAGCTTCGCGGAAAAAACGAGCGTGTTGCTCGTGACGAGTGGAAGCCGATGATACCCAATTTTAAGGTCCTAGATCATCGGTTGACCTTCCAGGTCAGGTCAATGACCCAAAAGTCGGGAAAATCGGGACCAGTTAGAACGTCGTAAAACGTGGTTACTATGGGGTTTTTAGGGTGCTGATTACGAATATCATGTTAGTTATGATAATAGATGATGTCTTAATGCATTTAGGCCAGGTCGAGTCAGGTCAGGTCAGGTCCACCAGTAAGGGTTTTGCCGGGTATTCGTAGTAGGTGGCAACCGCCTCTGACAGCTTCGTAACATGTTACGAAGGCACCAAAACTACTTGGTAAATGTTCCAATGGTTGCTAAACTCGAATTCAGCTAAAAAAACTAGCCTAGAAACATGTAAAACTCGAAAAAGTGAACCGAGGTCATCAAAGGTCAGTGACCTGACCTGACCTTCCGGTGACCTTGACACCCACCCTAATGCATGGGAGCAACATCATATTCCATGTTTGAAAACTTGAAACCACGAAAAGACTGCAAACGCGCGGCTAATGCGAGCCGACATCAGCCGAATCGCGATTCCGGCCAAACATGGTCTCGAAAAGTAGGTCACAGGTCAAAGGTCATTAGGGTCAGGGACCAGGGTCATGAAATTTTAAGGGTAGGTGTAAAATTGATAAACGCGAGGGCACTTACAGTTTCGTCGCGATCGGCCGCTTTTTACGCGATTTATTCGCGAAAAACCATGGGGGGGGGGTCCGTTCGACACCCCCCCCCCCCCTATACGGGCGAGGGTTAAGTGGTGCCTTCGGTAGGACTGGTTCGGAAGCATTATTGTTGGGTCCTCAGAGGTATTATTACTGACTGAGGCCAAAGAGGTGCCGGTGTGGACCCTCAGAAGTGCTAGTGTGAGGCCGTGAGAGACGCCAGTGAGGTTCCTCACAGGCGCCGTTGTGGGCCCTCAGAGACACTGGTGTGGGGCCGTCACAGACGAATGTGGGGCCCATAGAGGCTAGAGCTGCTGGTCTGAACCCCTTACAAGCCGGCAGGGGGCTCTCAGAGACCAGCAAGGGGCCCTCAGGCCAGCAAAGGGCTCCCATAGGCCGGCGATACCTTCAGAAGCTCTGCGGGGTCCTTAGAGACCGGCACAATACTTTCAGACGCCGGTGGGGCCCTCAGAGTCGCCGATGTAGGGCACTCAAAAGTCACCGGTGGGTGGCCGTCAGATGCGCTGGTGTGGGGCCCTCAGAGGCGCCGATATTGGGTCCTCAGAGCCGCTGATAAAGGTCCTAAAGAGGCACGGTGTGGGGCCCTCAGGAGTGCCAGCGTGGGACCCTCAGAAGCACTGGTATGGGGCCCTCAGAGGTGGCAGTGTGGGGGCACTCAGAAGCGCCGGTGTAGGACCTGCACAGTCGCCGGTGAAGCCCTTCACAGGCGCCAATGTAGAGTCGCTCAGAGACACAGGGTCATCAGAGGCGCGAGCTGCTGTTGTGGACCCTTCATAAGCCGACAAGGGGATTTCAGAAGTCGGTGGTGCCTTGAGGAGCCCTGTGGGGTCCTTAAACACCGGCATGGTTTTCTCAGATGCTGCTGGTACCCTCCGAGTCACCAGTGTGAGGCCGTCAGAGCCACTGGTGTGGGGCCCTCAGGACCGCCGATACAGGGCCTTTAGAGACACTGGTGTAGGCCGTCAGAGTTGGGGGGGACCTCATAGGGGGGGGGGGACGCCGGTTTGGGACCTCATAGGCGCCGGTGAGGGCCCTCAGAGTCGCCGTTATGGGCACTCAGAAATTTGTGTGGGGCTATCACAGGCGGGTTCGAGGCCACTAGAGGTGGCCCGTAATAGGCCGGTAAGGGCCCTCAGAAGCCAGTAAGGGACACTCAGAAGGTGGCCTTTATGGAGAACTTAGTGTGGCTACTCAGGGGCCCATGGGATGTCCTTACGAGCCCTGTGGGGTACTTCTGAGTCGAAATATCACAGAAATATGGTCAGCAAACCCTCAACGGCCAATTGGCGCCACAGGGCCCCTCGTGCCCGTGTGGGGGACCTTCGGGACCTGTTTAGGCCCTCAGAGGCGCCGGTGAGGGCTATCAGTCGCCATTACGGGGCCCTCAAAGAAATTGGTGTGGGACCGTCACAGACGGGTGTGGCCTGGGGCCCCTAGAGCTGGCCCCTAATGGACCGGTAAGGCCCCTCAGGCTGGTTAGGACGCTCTGGCCGGTAAGGGCCCTGAGGCCGGTAAGGGCCCTTAGAGACCGCTGAGGCCCCTCCCCCGCTTTCGACGCCCATGGTCAGATCCCATTGCAATTGAACTCACCTGAATGAAGTGAACTATTGAAGAGTGTGCCTATAATTTATCAATCCGGTGCGTAGTAGCAAAGTCAAACTGCCAGCAGCGGGCTGACCACCCATCTTACGCATGCATATCTACCGCATAAAGTACCAGTATCTCGAACACCAGAGCTGTGGCGTGTTCTCTGCGTCTGCCCCTTATAACGTGTAGTCAGTTGACTGCTGATTATTGTTCGTATTTCACAAAGCGTAAGAATTTGACACACAACAGCGACACAGTAAATGCGCTCAAGTACTCACCTCTGGCTCCCGAAACACAAGTGCCGCCCTTCCCTTGGCATTTGATGTCGCCCCGGAGGGAGTTATTTCCAGCCCATTTTTTGAGGAGTGATTACGCCCCTGGTGCCTGGACTGGAGGAGAATTTCACTCCATACTGCCGTACAGCTTCCTAAGGACCATGGCAATGGCGTTGACAGTTACGCCATTATACGAGTATATACAGACACGGACACGCCGTAAACGCCTCGTTGTGCTGTACAGTAAAAGGCGCGTCTTTGACGCCTTCCATATGCCCATTCTCCTTCAGAGCCGCGGAACGTCACGGTGGAGCCGCCGCGGACGATGGACCCGCTGGTGCCAGTCACGGCCGACATTTACCCGGGCACCTTCCTGCACCTGCCGGCGGACCTGTGCGCCGAGGGACCGCCGCTGGCCCTCGTCTCTGTGACCTCCCAGCCGGCGGCGGCCGAGCGCAGGGCTCTGTTCCGGCGGCTGTACGGGGCCGCCGCCGCCGCCGCCGGCCTGCGCCTCGTCTTCCTACTGGGAGCGGATGAACCGGTGACACACGCCTACAACCAGTTCGCCGACGAAGAGGACTGGTCGGCGGAGAGTGCAGCGACCGGTGGCGGCGTGTCGGACTGGGAGCGGCGGCGCGCTGTGCAGGCGGCAGTGGACGCAGAGGCGGCGAGGCACGGTGACATTATTCAGAGCGCCGTGCCCGAGCATTACTACCATCTGGCCTTGAAGACGGTCGCCCTGCTGGACGCATTCAGGCGGGTGTGCTCCGGCGCGCGCTTCCTGGTGAAGACGGACGATGATGTGCTGGTGGACGTGCCGCTGCTGGCGGCGGAAGTTGCTGCGCTACCGGACGGGCCCGCCGTGTACGGCCGGCCGGCGGCCTCGCTGCAGCCCAACCGGCCCAGCCTGGCATGGCAGGGGTACGGGAGCAGCGTGCGCGAGTGGCCGGCCGACTCCTACCCTCCCCTGGTGCTCGGCAACGGATACCTGGTGGCGGCGGCGGCGGCGGGCCCGCTGCTGCGCGCCGCGCTCGCCGCCCGCTACCACCACCTGGAAGATGTGTTTGTGACGGGCGTGGCGGCCGAGGCGGCTGGGGTGGAGCGCCGCCCCTGGGAGCGGCATTGTCTGTACACCAGCGGTATGGGGGGCCGCCGGAGAGCGACGACAGTGTGCGAGGTGGCCGGCTGCGCCCTCACCCACCGAGTCAGCTACGAGCACCACGCCGACCGGCTGCGGGCCATCCTGTACGCCACTGAGCGGCTCGACACGGAGACGCTGTGTAGGAGCAGCCGGACCCGGCCGGCGGCCGGAGGGTGACGGCGCGGTGCGCCAGCGTCTGCCGCTGCGGGGGCGGCTCTGGCCCCTGATACAGGTGCCGCTGATGGTTATGGTGGTTTATAGATCTTTCCAGTGCTGTTTTCTGGCTGTTTAACAACTTGTGATACTATCGGTAACAGGTGTCGTTTCGTGTGCTTTTTTTTTTTTGGCGCATGAATGTAGTGTGCGATTGGACTGTTTCCAGTCAAAGCTACGTTGTTAAATGTTACACAGGCGTGGTATGAAATTTATGCCTGTCTGTGTTTGCCTCTTGGCTAGGGTCACTTGAATAGCAAAATTAGTCTTTCCAACTGGTGACCGGCCTAGATTTCTTGTTTGAACATGTCAAGTGTGATCGGATGATTCAACGGAAGGGGCTGTGTTTAAACGTGATAAAAAGCTGGCTTCGTGATCTTGAAAAGAAATTGATGTGTTGACTGAAATACTTTGTAACAGTATTCTGTTTCGACAGTATTAAGTGTGTTGTGATAATTTCCATTGGATATTTGCTGTTGTGGTTGTTGAGTCGATTTTTGTTGAGTTCTTTCTTTTCTCGCCTAGTTGCCTGCGATATGATGTGATCTTACAGAGCTTTGGGGTTAGGTATAGATTGCCAAATGCCATGAACCTCACGCTTGTCTTTGGCATATTTTGCATTGATTATTTACCGAACAGGTTTAAATCGAACGATTTCGACTTCGATTTTTTTCATTACGATGGGAGTACAATTTTTCCAGTACATGCGATGTTTTCCATCGGTGAAGACCGCCTAGTGCCCACATCACCGTGCTTGTTTTTTTCTCTCTCTCTCTAGCGGCTGTGAGCTATAGAACAATGTAATCGCTTTTGTTCAGAAGCCGTTGTGCATACTGCATGATAGGCTGTAGGATGCGTTAAGTACCTATCTATAATCAGTATAACGCCTTTTGGGGCGACCATGGTGTGTCAGACGTGGAAATAGCCATACGACTTTAGTTCTCCAGCCTTGTCAATAGATGGCAGCACCGCAATATGGGCGGCGGATCGTGCAATTGACGTCAAATTTTCGGTACCTGCTAAGAATTAAATGGCGGATCTTGTTATGCAAGAATCAAGTAAATCGGTCCACAACTTTTCTAAAAACAGGGGTATAAAGTCAAACACTGCCAGAGCGGCGGCGCGGTGGCCGACGGCGGCCGGCGGCGGCCGTTACGCGCCGCCTGGGAGATTGCCGGCGCGGGACGGTTCCGAATTCCGACTCTGCATAGCACTAAAACCTGTCAACTGCTTGGAATAGTTATTATAGCAAAATTTTCAGTCAAGTGAGGAATAATCCAAGGGCTGGAAGCATGTACCTACCTATATTTGTGTGCATTAGTCACAGGCACGTAGCTAGGATTTGGCCAAGGGAGGGGCGGAGGAATCCCGGGGGCCTCCTTTCTACAGAGGGCCTCCTCCCTAAAGGGGCCTCCTTTCTACAGAGGGTCTCATGCCTACATAATTACATATACAACATAATGGCCGTTTTCACGACGGAATAGCAGGCATCTATTTGATACCAATATAATCCTTTGGTTCCTCAGGAATTTTAGTAGTTCTTTTTAGTAGGTTTACCAGCTTTCGAATGAATGGCGCGTTAGTTTGCTATTTTTCTATTAAATATCACATCGATTTACTTTATCTAAGGATTTATCACTAACATCAACATAAAGCGTAAGCACAATTATAAAATTATGAAATTATTAAATACTAGTACAATAGTTAAAAAAAGATACTGAGTTGCCACACTACAAAAGATATATTCATTTATGGCGCACGACAGACATTTAGAAAGCAGCGCCCTGTTTTATTGCACGCTGCTAGCCGCTTCCATTGGGTTTTGCAGGCCGACGTCATTGGTTGTTACACGTATGATGTCACGCGACTTGTGGCCTATCACGGCTCTTTAATGATCTCCACTAAATGAATGCAACAATGGCCTTTTAAGTTGATATCTGTGGCCATCTGTCTATGGAGCGACCAATATGAAAGTTAGATGAATTTACCGGGGTTACATGACTATGAGCAAGCAAATGTGTATCAGGAATGGATTCAGGTGGAGAATTGCGCTGGACCATGAGTGCTCGAGCGCTCCCAATTCCACGCCGGTTTGGCTTTGGAGCCGAGACAGACGATGCGGGTCAAGGTCACCGCTGGGGTAACGCTGGATTGGCTGCGCCCGAGCACCCGTAGCGCGGCACAATTCTCCATCTATAGATTTTCCTATTCGCTCAGCATTGTGATACCTAGGTGTTCGTAATAGCAATTACTCTGCTTATGTACTTATCCCCGGTTATTTAACCTTCGCCCTGGTGGGGGGGGGGGGCCATTTTGGCCCCCCCCCCCCTGTGGTTTTTCAGCGATAACTCAGAAACCACTTGAGTTAGCGCCCTGAAACTTTGTATAGCTGTTTATTCAACATTTTTACATCATGTCCTTTTTTGGGGGGTTCGGGTCAGGTCAGGTCAGGTCACAAGGTCACCAAAACTGACACCACCTCTAAAAAAGTTCAAAGCTCTCTCAAAGGCACAGCTTTTATCCGATCGATGTAAAATTTACAGTACTTGAAGATGTCACCCAGCTCTACAAAATGGCTATCTCGGATTTTTTATAAATGTGACCTAAGGTCAGGTCAGGTCATCGCTGCTCCCCATTATAAGTCAATGGGAGAATCGAAAAGTAGTTGTTTTTCAGCTAAATCGGGCGTGATTGTTCCTATATTTCGTTATTGAAGTGTCTTGGGTCAGCAAATCACAGCCCATGTGAAACCATTTGCTTGTGACCTCGCTGAGGTCACGCTAGGTCATCTCCCTGGTCACCAGAGGTCACCAGCGGTTTTTCTGCACTTACTTGTTATTGAATAGAGATAGAGACTCCGTTCGACGTTTATCGTGTTTGTCTCGTCAATGCGGATCGAATGATATGCAGCATGACCTATTTCGGTAAGGTCATGACCTTGACCTGAGGTCAAATTTTCAAAATGACCTTTCGAGGTCAAACTATATATCATTCGACGCGTCTCGACGAGCCAAGCACGATGGTGCATGAATCGTTTCTCTATTTTCTCGTGAATGCATGCTATAGTTAAAAACATTTTCAACGAAATTTGCCAAGTTGACCTTGCATGACCTCTGTGGGCCAAACCGTTGAGCTGAGGTCAAATCTGACGAACCTTGGCGAAAGAGCTTGAAAAGAGCTATCGATTGCTTTTTTCCGCGGCTCTCTAGCTCTTCTAGTTTCCGAGCTACAGCGGAATATGTCCGGCAACACCGAAAACACTGAAATTTGACCTATGATGACCTCTAGCGACCTCAATATTGACCTTAGCGAAAAAATGACTGAAATACTTTCGAACGTACTTGTTATGGGCTTTCGTTTGCTTTTTTCCGCGTCTTCCTAGCCCTCTTCGTTTTCGAGTTAGACGGGGGGGGGGTCATTTTGGCCCCCCCCCACCAGGGCGAAGGTGGCTCAGACCCACACCAGGGCGCGGGTTAAAAGAAGTTTTTGTGAGGGGATATCACGGCTATAGGTAGGTTCTCAGTTGCCCTATTCACGACTTTCAAAGAATGCTCCGATATCTAAATACCGCACAGACCTACTGCATTGGTGAATCTGACAAAAGGTCTGTGGAATTACATTCCCCCTCACCACACCCCTAAAAACTCATCCAGTGTCCAAAACCACTTTTATCGACTCGCCAAAAAAAAAAAAAAAACACACACACACACACTCACACAAAGCATGGGGCATGTCAGCTCTCAGTTCATTTATCATTGCACTGAAAACACTTCACTGAAAACAAGTTGAAAGAACGTAATGCAAAAGCATCTTAAAATATTCCACACTTAGGTTTTTTGGGTATTAGGGTAAACTGGCTTAGAGGCGAAGCAGAACGTCTGGCTCATGAAGAACAACAGTGTTTCACATAGACCGAAGACACGTGCTGCTTCTTCGCGTGCAGTCTTAGCGGCCCCAGGGGGCTTCAACTCGACCAACACCGGTTCTTCTTCGTTCTCCCTAGTCACGTGATATTACGTCACACAAAGCGCGCGAAAGATAAACCCTTTGAAGGTTTAGCACGAACTAGCATGGGGTTTAAGAAGAAGGGGTTGTGGTTTGATCAGTATAATGGCTTTCATCAAGACCACGCCCGCGGTACCACGTTCTAGCGTCCACCGGAAGCGATCGCCATTTTTCGATCGCGTTGGATCACGCTTTGTGCAGTGACGAGCGGCTGGTGCAAGGTTGGGTGAATGGCAAGTAATCGAATAGGTATTGAAGAAGTGAAATAAGGTTAATTTTTGGCTTGTGAAGTGTTGTGTATTATTTCTATTACTTGTGATTGACAATGATAAGCAATATCACAACGCTCTTCAAATGCATGGATGAATGCATTGGATGAAGAAAATTCATATGCAAGACCATTCAATGCTGTAAGTATTTATATGCTGTATAAATGCCCCATAGCTTAAATTATGCATGTGACATTTAGACAAATCTTCCAATTGAAGATAAATCAGGAATGGAATCAGCTTGCCATTTTGGGGTCAACTGATTTAGGTATAGGTAAATTTGGCTGATTTTAATAAACATACCTATGTTCTTGCTGATTAGTGCAATATTTTATCTAGCTGCACTTTATATGTTTAGTGCATTATTTTATTTTTGGAGTAGGCTCATGGTCTCTGAAGTTAATCTAAGTTTCTTTACTCCCTGCCTGTTGAATAACGACTTCATTTCTTCATTCTAGGGGACGAGGCCATCTCCGCTCTGATTGAGGCCCTGGAGTCTGAGGAGAGCGTCCTGGCGCGCGGAGACGTCGACATCGTCGAAAACGCTGGCTTGAAGCTGGTGGTGGAAGGAGAAACTGTATGTGATTTGGGAGAATGCGATATCGCCACCCGGCTGCTGACATGGGCGATAGCGCATGCTGTGTTTGGGAAAATATCCACTTGCTAAAGCTAAAAATGTGTTCATATTTGTACAGAAAGCAACCCTGAGCGTGAAGGAATCAACCTGAATAATTAAACATGCCCGAAAGGCTCTGGAGTTCTTTGGCTTGGATGTGTAAGGCAAGTGACACGGCCGAGGGGAAAGCGTTCCTGCAGGCTGATTGCGGGCTGATCGCAGGCTGAAT